TGACCAGCCCTGGTACCACAGGGGAGAGGATTATGCAAGTATATGAGTTCCGGGGCAGGGATCATTAGAAGCTGTCTTGGAGGCTGATAACCTGTGCCCCAGTGTCAACAAAAGTAATGAAACCCAAACCCTTCTTACTTGGATATTTTCAAACTGGTTGTTAAACCTTGTAACATCTCTAAGCCATTTAGTTCTAGAAGGCAGTATAAACGTAAGATGTGGGTGTTCTGTTTTTCATCCCATAATTGTGCATTTACTGCCTGCTCTCTGCCAGGCCCTGTCCCAAATGCTACTATATATCATTGAGCCAAGTGGGAGACTGACTTTCCTTTAACTGGAGCAGTAAAATCAGGTAAACTTCAAAAGGAGCAGACACAAATGGATTTAAAGACTTTAGAAAATAGGGCCGGGGATTTAGCTCAGTGGTTCTGCCATCTGCCTTGCAAGTGCAAGGACCCAAGTTCGATCCCCGGTAGCAAAAAAACAAAAACAAAACCAGGCTGGGTAATAATAGCTAACATTTACTAAAAACCTCTTAGAGGACAGATATTGTACTGACCCATAAAGCAATATTATATAAACACTTCATATACATCTTACCCTTTAAGAGCTACCAATCTCCTTGTTATCTCTATTACACAGATGGGGAAACTGAGGCTTAGACTCTGGCCACAGGACAAAACCTCTGGTCAATGGTCAGTTGCAGCCCAGGCCCAGGCTGTCTGATAAAAGCCTTTGCCTCCTGCCAGGCCTCTGCCTGGTCTGTCCTGGCTCAGCAAGGCCAATGAGATAAGGAGACTGGGACACTCTTAGTACTACTCTAACAAATGACACATGCTGGAGGGTGTAAAACCACAGAAAGTCATTCTCTCTGGTCTTTCCTGTGTGACTCTGTTATCTTCCCCTGTGTATCTGTCTCCACACTTCCCTCCTACAAAGACACCAGGCACGGGGTCACAGACCACCCTAAGCCAGTGCAGCCTCCTCTTCACCGATTGCTTGGGCAAAGACCCCATTTCCTAGTAAGGCTACATGTTGAGGTTCCAGTGGGCAGAAATTTGGGGGGGCCCTGTCCAGCTTGATGCACAGACCATCAGAGGTGGCAGCAGGCCTGAGAAGAGTGACCCACATAAGAAAGCAGGGGCTTTCTTACCACCCTGGGAACACGGAGGAAGTAATACGGAGCAAAGCTGACCCCAAAGAAAGAAGAAATTAATTCCAAAACCTTTTCTCCTGGCTCCTTCTGCATGTCATACTTCGTTGTTTTTTGTTTGTTGGTTTGGGTTTGATTTTTTTGCCATGTGCTATTAGGATACTAACTAATCTACATTTTAGCTGTCTTTGCACATCTTTTTTATAAGAAAAAAAGGCAGGATAGTTTTTCATTCGATTCAGATTGCAGGAGACCTCCCTCCTCAGGTCCCATGCATGACAAGGGCATGGAAATGTGACAAGAGTCTCTTTTTGTCATTGCAAACCCAAGACAATTCACAGTGTGCCATGGACTTAGTGACACAGGGATACCTCTTTCTTCTGACAGCCTTTAGCCAGTGCCCAGGGGTAGTTTCTGGAAGAACAGGAAATAAATATATTTTTTCCTTAATAACCCAGTAGGGCTCTGGCACCCATGAGGATATTTAAAACAATTCTGGAGCTATTTATGCTTTCAGCCTTAGCCATTTCTTGGCATAACAGCATCCATAAATTTACTGCCCAGAGTAGAACAATGAATTTGTCCTAAACAATACAACTCACAATCTACAAGGTGTCCCCTGGTTGTTGTATTTCAGGACAGAGCGAACACCCTGTGCTTTCTGCCTCCAAATTTCTTCTGCTCCTCTGGACTTCAGACATGCCTCCCTAAGCCTTGCTTTTCCAGACTAGAGTTGAAATTTTAGCTCCCCCCGCAAGCAATTATTTGATCTCCTTAGATTATGTCCTGATAATATCATCAGGCAGACCCTGACCTACATCATTTACTTAGCTAGAAATTCTGGGGCACATCTCTAGGCTTAGCCCAAGACCGAGCTCAGCCCTGGGGTTCTACTTTAGCAGCTCTTGATGCCAGTTGGTCACTCCATAGCCAAGAGCCACCGTGACCCCTGTGTCACTCCTCAGCTGGCAAATTCCCCCACCATGTCTGCTTTTTTCAGGTATATATTATTTTCACTTACAATAAAAATTCAAATGTCCATTAGATTTACTCAAGCTTTTGTTTTGGTTTTGGTTTTGGTACTGGGGATCGAATTCAGGGCCTCGCGTTTTTGAGGCAGGCAGTCCATTAGCTTTAAATTTTTTTGTTTATTCTATTCATTGTTGTTTTATTTTGTCTTATCATTCATGCCCTCTTTCTGCTTTGCCAGCAATCGGAATCCAGATGTGTGATCTTAGAGCACTGGTAGATTAGATCATTGTTCCCAATTCTTCATGCTCCCCATATGTCAAAGTCCTACACCAGTGCCCTTTGCTCCACGATCTTGCAGTGTCTCCCATTAAGTGGGTAGAGTCTTCTCCACACTACTAATACCAGACCTGGGCATGGGCTTGCTTAGCTGATGGACTGTGGGCAGAAGTGACTTGTGGGATGAAAACTCAGACATGGCTGTTTCTGCTTACATTTCTTGTATTCCTGTCACCTCTCAGGAACAGAACTTCCTCCAAGTGTCCTCTTTGGCCTGGGTCCCATCACAGACATGTGGAGCAGATCTAAACCCCACCTTCATCCTGGCACAGTGCTAGTCCAACCAACCTCTAGACCATGAGGAGAGTAAATGTTATTTGCCAACAAATTGGGGGTGGCTTGTTACACAGCATTATTGCAGCAATATCTAATACAAGTCCATCCACTTACCTTCTCTGGACCTCCATTTCCGCATCTGTAAAATGGGGCCACTGGATTATAATCCATGAAGGACAACCTTTTTTCTCCTGCCACGCAACTAATGACTGCATTGTTATAACCCACACAATAGAGACCAAACATGCCAGAGTCAAATGTTGCAAAGCACTAAAGAAAGAGAAGGATTGGGAAATATTAATTCAGGTTAAAAACTAGGGCCTTGTGGGTTGCCTAGTGGTGGTTGGTTGCTTGGTTGGTTGGCTGGTGAACTTGTTGTTTTAAGAAAGGAAAGAGCTAAATCTACAAAGAAACATTCACGGTGACACAGGTAAGGATGAAGAGGGTAAGGGCTTTGACAAGACTGAGCAGAAACCAAAATATGTGGTGTACAAGAGAGAGAGAGAGAGCAGAGTGAGTAAGGCTCAGCAGGGTTTCTTTACAGATTTGCTACACCTCATTTACACTTCAAGTTCTTGAGCTTAAGGGCCAGGCAAGTGTCACCTACGGAAAGGAAGATTATATGAAAAAGGACTGTGCTTCTACTGTCCAAATCAGGCAATAAAAGTAAATTTTGATGCAGAAAAGTTTTTAAAAATTCTGGAAAGCCAATCGCATTGAAAGTTCAGTTTAACCTTAGCAAGCCCACCGGTGATGGCACGGTGCTCGGAGAGGGGGAGAGGGATGTGCTCGGCTGGGAGGGAGAGGGCCAGAGGCGGGGGAGGGCTAGCAGGGCAGTTCAGGTTGGCTCCCTGCTTGGACACCGGCTGCCACTCGGCCCGCCGCTCCTGCGTCCCGAACACCTCTGAGCGGAGGGGAGAGTCCATGATGGGGATATTGGCTGCGGAGCGACGGAGCCCGAGCCTCCTGCGGCGGGGCCGCTGCCAGGAGCGGAGGGAGGGAGCGGAGGCTCGACCTTGGCCTGAGCGTCCAAAGCTGCTTGGGAAACCAAACTTTACTACCACACTCAAGTGTGCGAAAAGAATACATCCGGAGCTTCTGAACATCAGCCTTTTATCCGCGTCCTGAACTTCAAAATACTCCACCTCCTCCCCACTTCATTTTTTAAAACCTGATGCCAGGGCTGACAACCAAAGGGCCAGGAGGGCCAAGCTAAGCCTTATCAGTGGCTTCTTTTTGAGTCATTAAGATATTTCTTACACATATCTGGCGGTCTTGCCACCCACACGTATTTTGAAAACTTGTTTTAAGACACTTGATTTAGAGAACTTGATTAAAACAGATTCAAATCTTGAATTTGAAAAATACACCCCAGTGTATTCCTGTGTCTGCTAGCTGAGCGTTATTCATTTGGGATTACATTTTGACTAATGTCCTTAAACTACCAGTGAATTAAGATATTTCAGCAAAACGGATGAAAATAATATTACTGTAACGCTTTTGCTAGTGGATGATCTGTTTATCTGAGTTTGGGAATTTCCTCTGAATTTTGGGAAAATCCTGTCAAATAAATGTATTATTTTCTCATTTTAAAGCAAAAATTAACTAGTGCATATGACTATATACCTCAGCAGCAGAACATTGAAAGCAACACTTTTTTTTTTTCTGTTGGTGGGACTGAACCCAGGACCTTGAGCATTATGCACTACCACTGAGCCACTTACTTCCCAAGTCCTGAAATACATTCTTAAATTTAACTGTGCATGTTTGTATCTTACTGGTAATTTCAATATTATTTAAATTTCAGTATGTAATCAAGTCTCTTTCCAGATCCTTGCTTTCTTTTTTCTGCTTCTTCAGGCTTGGCTTAGTCATTTTACACTTTTGCTACTGAATAAAACCTGTATGAAAAAATGTGCAGGCCTTTTGTTTTTGTTGATTTCACTGGGTGGGAGAAGTAAAATTTTGAAACTGTTTTGTTTTGTTTTTTTAATACTGTGTTAAAGATAATCTGAGTTTGGAGCTGGGGATTTAGCTCAGTGGTGCTGCAGCCTGCCCTGCAAGCAAAAGATTCTGAGTTTGATCCCCGGTACAAAAAAAAAAAAAAAAAGCTCAATTATAGAGCATTTTTCAAGAAATAATTTTTCTTTAATTTTTAAAGACCTACAAGCTAGAGGCAATGGGGACTAAGAGTTACCATCAATGACCACATGCGTGGGTATGAAGTTTCCTCTTTATGGAGCCCTCAAACTTCTTTTCACAGCATCAGGAAGGACAGACAGCCCTAAGTCAAGATATGGAGGTGTGGCAAGGCCCAGGGCTGCCTGGCATCAGACCTCGGAAGAGACTCCCACAGTGCCCTTCTCAAGTGCCTCCCTTCCTCTGATCACTTGGAAAACTGCTGCACGCTGGCCTCTGTTCTCACCATACTACCGGTAACCACCTCCAGCATCCTCTAAGACTCCTACCTAAGACTCCTATTCAAGGCCAAGTGCTACCTAGTGGTAGAAGCCCAGCACCATTCTACACAAGGCCACTTGTTTTCAGCATAGCTCTTCTTACTTTCCATACCAGTGCCTCCTTGGTGGTCGTGCAAAAACTCACAATGTTTTAAAAATAAATAAAAATGGGCCGGGGATTTAGTTCAGTACTTCTGGTGCGTGCCTCACAAAGGCAAGGACCCGAGTTCTATCCCCCATACCAAAATAAATAAATAAATAAATAAATACAGATAAGTAAAAACAAAATCAACCTGGCCAGGATCTACATAATTACTGTTAGGTATAAGCTTGCAGTAAGCGGATAATACTAAAGGCTAATGTTTACTGAACACTAACTGTGCCTGGCATGGCTCCAAGTCTCCCCAGGATTTAGCTCATATTCTTGCCATGTGCCATGAACTAAATTCTATGATTATTTCTATTTCACAAGTGGGGAAACTGAGACCTAGCCTGGCAGGGTCAGAAGGCCAGGCAGGATTTGAACACAGGCAATCTGATTCCAAAGCCCATGCTCTGGACCATTACTGAAGGTGCTAAAAGGCATCTAAGAGCAAGGTTTTACAGGCAGTGTTGAACTAGCAAACAGCTGAAATGTTTGGAGTTAGTGGCTTCTGTTCCTAAATGGGTTCAGCTGTCACCTTTGCATATGATTATGTTTCCCAGTCCTTTCTTTCCTAAACAGCACTGGTAATTTCTAGCTTGAATTATCAAGATGAAATTGCCTATCAAGATTCAGATCTCAACTCAATAAAGTCATCTTTACAAAGTGTGATCAAAAAATATGATGGCTGGGCATGGTGGTGCACGCCTGTAATCCCAACACTTGGGAAGCTGAGGCAAGAGGATCGCTGTGAGTTCGAGACCAGCCTGAGCTACACAGTGAGTTCCACATCAGCCTCAACTACATAGTGAGATCCTGTCTCAAAAAAACCAAAAAAAAAGATGAATGTATTTAAAAAGTGTTTTTAATTTATTACAATAAAAGACACATTACTGTGAATCCCTGCAGAATACTTCCCTTTGCTTTGAACATGCTTATCTTATTGTTCTTGTTGCTTTCAAAACATTTATCTTTCATGGTCATTTTAACTTTGGGGAAGAGCCTGAAGTCATACAGTGCCAGATCTGGGGAATAAGGTAGATGAGAACATACCACCTTGATAGAAATATTCATAAATGTTTTGAATTCATTCAGGACATGGAAGGAGCTACAAAAGTACAACTAAAGACACTCATGGAAGAGAACTTCCAGAACTGCTTCAGAAAGTGGTAAGAGAGATGGGATAAGGCTATTTGAAGAGCGTGGGCAGTATTCTGAGGGGGACTAATGGTAATGTGTCTTTTACTGTAATGATTTTTAAAATTTGTAATTTACACATCCATCGTATTTTTTATCATATCTTGTGTACTGAGCAGCAGTGGCAGCTGCTTGCAGTGGTATGCAGGCAGAACTGAATGGAAATTCTCTATGATGATATCCACAATAACAAAGAATAAGTAAGAAGCACCGGAAATCCTTATACACCAGCACACGCCACAGAGTTCTAGGTGTTGTCTGTTTAACTCAGTTTGGTTGCAAATCACTAATTCCTGTTACTTGATAGAATTGGACCGAATGCCCAGGCACAGGGTGAGGCCCTCAGGCAGAAACGGAGTGAGACCAGGCCAGCCCTTGGGGAGCTTACCTTCTGCTGGGGAAGCCAGGTCTGGGAGTAGGAAGAGGCCAGGGGGCAGTTGCAGGGGAAAGAGCAAGAGATGGTACAGAGGTTCCCGGAAAGGCCACTACCTAGGTGGAGGGGAACGGCGTTGAGCAGAGAGAACTGGAGGTGGATGGTATGGCCCCGAAGAAGGAACTGTGTCGGCACTGGACAGCCAGGAGCTGGCTGAGGAGGGCCAGGGATGCACCCACAAGAGGCATCAGGGCTAGGTCAGGAGAGCCTTGGGGCCAGGGTGGGAAGACTTGATTTCCTGGGGTTTTTAGGGAAGATGACCAGTGAGTTTCCTGGTAACCAGGCCACAGTTTCAGCAGCACAGACAGGAGGTAGGGTGCTGGGGGGGTGGGGGGGGCGACTAAGGGATACTCTTGGAGACCAAAAACCACAGCAGGAGGAGAGCAGACAGAGAGGAGGGGACACTCAGGGATCCTTAGGAGACCCACCAGGCTGCAGAATAGTTGACTGTGGGCTGAGAAAAAAGAAAGGAAGAGGAGAGGAAGGGAGGGGGAGGGAGAGGAGGGAGGGGCTGATGCAGGACTCCCAGCAGGACTCCCAGGGCAGCAAAGTGGAAAACGTTCTCGTGCTGAGAATCAGACACTATCAGTCCTGTCTTACCAAAGAGGAAACTAGCAAGGACAGATAGCTTGCCCAGGTGACTCAGCAAGAAAAGCGTGTCTGTCTCTACTCTGTAGAGACCTGACCACGCTTCTCCTGAAACTTCCCCTACCTCTCTCTGTAGGACCTGCAGTCATGAAGTAGCATTCCCCATTTTGCCTGCTTTTTCATGCACAGAAAAGGTTAAAGGCTCACAAAACACAAGCCACTACCCTCACTGTTCACTGCTTCCCAGCCTGGGGCTCCATTGCCTATTGATTTGTGAAGGTGGGAAGGCAGTGCATTTTCAACATCTCAGGGAGCCCAAGGTAAATTGTGCATTTATTGACAATAAGAGGGTGCGGGTTAGCTAAAATGTCAGGTCTCTGCTTTGGAGAGGAATTATAACTCGGTCCACTACTGCTGGTTATCTCATTGATCAGTTCTTCTCATTGGCAGAGCTTCCAATCAGCTTGCCTTTGAATAATTAAGTGGGAAACACAGTCAATCGTTGCTCAAATATACACTATGATGGGGATGATAGAACACAAGACCCACGGGGAAAATAGCACAGAGACAGTTGGTGAAAAGTTGAGACCCCAGTGCTGTGACCGGTAAGGATTGGCACTGAAGTGAACTTGAGTAGAAGTGCCTGTCGTTTGCTGCCTCTCTTTTGGGGTTGGGTCTCTCATCTCCTCTGCACCCACTGGTGTCAGGAGATGCCATTCAGACCCCAAGAGCTCTGCACACCCCTGTGTATCATGTATCTGCTAAATGGCTGAGTCCTGCACTCCATCGCCTCTTGTAGTCTCGCTCTCCAATGTGATAACTACCTTACCTGCCTGAATTCATAGAAATGTTTTATCCACAGCACAGCAATGAAGCAGACCAGAACATAGCCCAGGAACCTTTGGTTTTCAATGAGTGCATGAACTAAGAAGTGATTTATATACTTTTTTAATAAGCACTGTGCGTGACATTCTCCTAGGTGACAAACACACTGTCCCCAGTGTGCAAGTTGGAGGGAGATTGATCCTCCCTCCCTTGCATGTGCAAGCCTGCACACATGCACCCCCATGCACAGACACTCTGTAAAAACAATCATTTAAAACAAGTATTACTTTCTCAGTTACTTGTGGCAGAATTATGATTGTTAATATTTATTGACCAGCTTCTATGGGTCAGGGCACTCACTGGCTTAAGATCCAGGCCCTGCCCAAATGGGGAAAAAGTAAGAACCAAGATACATCCAGTAAAGGTACAAGATCTTAGTGATGAATGCAACTGTATTGTTTACCTCAAATGTACCAATAAACTTAATGGGGGGAATAAAAGATCCAGGCCCTTCCCTCTGAGGTGTGTGGTCAGATCAGGAAGGCCGGGCCCATGTGCAAAACAAAATAATGGCAGTCTGGTGCTGAGATCATCATGGAGAGATAAAAGCTGCAGGGGAGGTGGGGCTTGCAGAGGACTGGCCTGGTCCAGAGACTTTCAGGAAGAGTGACATTAGGAGGGGCTTTTGAAGGACATCAGGAAGTATAGAAATTGACATCAGGAGGTAGGGAAACTGACAGAGGACCGGTCAGGCAAGGACTGCTGCTTGCAAAGCAAGAAAAGAAAGGCCCATTGTGTGGGGGGTAGGGAGGGACAGGTGGGAGGGTTCTAGGCACTTTGTCCTCCACCTGTGCAAGCAGCTGCTGGTTTAGGTGTGCAGAGCTGCTCCCTCCCGGCCATCAGTGAGCAGAGCCCTGGAGACCAGGTTTTGGTAGAAGCCAAAATTTGTAGAAGTTAGCTTGTTTTGGGGGGATCGTCTCTGAGATCATTATCCTAGATTCTTAGAGAAAAAAATGGAGGCAACCTCTTTCTGACACCTCAGAAGCACAGCATTGCAAGGATATCCAGGAGGCGGAGGACGTCCCACAGTGTGGCCTGGAGCCAGACTGCACTGAGGTAGACACAGCGAAAGCCAAGGGCTTCCGGTGAACTCCCAGATCGATGTGACACACTGTCCCTACCCTGCCACCAGGAAGTTGTGCAACTTCACTTCTGTCTGGCAAACCAGGAATAACATGGCTCAACTGACATGTGTGAGCATCTGCCACTGTCCCTTCCCTCCTGGAAGTCTCATCCCCACAGCAGCCACTCCTTATTCCTGGAGTTGACCTCACCTTCACTGGTAAAGGGCAGCCAATTAGGTCTGTTTGTAAGGCATTTGGGAGGGAGAAGGGGTCATTCATAGCTTTAGTTTGGGGAGAGGACCAAGGAGAGAAGCGCCAAGCCTGTGCACAAGCAGCTGCAGAAGGTACAGACATAATACATCTGAAGGTTTGCCTTGTTAGTACAAGTGAGATTCTTTTCTTTTTTCTTTAAAAAAAAATTCTGACAGAATCTTTTTTTTTTTTTTTTTTTTTTTTTTTTTTTTTTTAAAAAAAAATTCTGACAGAATCTTTTTTTTTTTTTTTTTTTTTTTTGATTTTTTGAGGCAGGGTCTCACTATGTAGTTGAGACTGACCTGGAACTCACTGTGTAGCCCAGGCTGTTCTCAAACTCACAACGCTCCTCCTGCCTCAGCCTCCAGAGTGCTGGGATTACAGGTGTGCGCCGCCACACTCAGCTTTGCCTTACTGTTTTATAATCACATTCAATTTGGGATTGTAAATAATGTCACCCAGTTTAATCACCTACTTGTCAAAATTTGGGCTGTTTTTTTAAATAATAACTTTATTGGTACATTTTAGGTATGCATAATGATCACATTCATCACAGGGAATATGTATCTGTACATGATATATCTTAATTCTCAGCTGTTTTAAAAAATCAA